GCCTCACACAAAATCGATAAGAAGACTCTAAGTTTTAGACTCTTTCTACCCGAGGCGGGGGAACAAAGAAAGAATCGATGATAAAATGGTTCCAAACCAAGATATTTTCGCGCAAACCAGGGTTATCAAAAATGGCGATTGCTATTTTTAGTTTTTACAATTGATAGAAACAAATGAATTTGTTGATTTGTTGAAGAATTACAAGACATTTTCGTCTCAACACGATCCTAACAAACTTTTTCTTCTTTTTCTTTTAATTACAGATGATTTTAGAATTTCGGTTTTGTCCATTAGAAATATCCCATCACTCCGTGTCCGGTCTGTTTCGCGGATTTTTCTCTAAAATCCTTGGATCTGAGCTCTGATTGGAGAAGAGATGAAGTTTTCTTATTCTCTATTGGTCGCCCTGCTTCCTTTGTTGGTCTAAAGAAAACAAAGTCCCATGACTCCGGATAAAGATCTGAACCCAACTCCAAGATGCAGGCCGGATCTTTAATTTTACAACCAACATTTCTTTAAAATTCAAAATTTACTTTTTAAAATATATCAAAAAAAGATTTGTGGCAACATATCGAAACCACTTCAAAATGATAATAATGATTGAGATAAATGTCAATGTTTTGTTTGGAAAATGCAATTTTTATCGATATTCAATTAGTTTAATTTGTTTTATGATTTAGATTGGAAAGAAAGCTATCAATAGAAATATGAAAAATAAAATAATTTTCAAATAATGAAAATGTTGGATAATTTCCTTTTAGCTCAGTTTGGGTTTGGATCAAGGGTTGTTTTAGTTGCTCTGGTAAGGTTGGGTTACCGACTGAGCAGGGTTGGGTCAGTGTAAAGGGTTTGAGCAGATGGGTTTAGGTCAGCAGGTGCAGGACCTAGTACTATAAAATGGACCCGGAGTAGGACGTTTTTGTCCCTCTTATATAGTAGCATATTCGATTCACAACGGTACTCTACAATTGAAGGGACACTTTAAGTTATGTTTACAGTCCCTTTAAGGAGAGACGATATTAAAAGATTTAGAGATTTCACGAAGTTAATTACAAAAATTAAAAATTTATATAAATTTCAAATTCTTCATAATTTCAAAAGTTTAAATCGTTTAAAGTAAAACTAAGGCTTAATTAATTTATTATGTTTTAAATTTTGCTAATGTTTTAAATTCCCTTCCACAAATACAAAATAATGAAATTAATGTCTTTTGATAAGATCAAACTGCAAAAAATATATGTAAAATTGTACAATTCACGTGTAAAAGCTGACATACTAAATGCGCAAAGTTGTTCTGTATTAAATACAACTTGAAGTAGAACTTTTGTTTCTAAGCACTTTACTTTTCTCAATTACATAGTTTCACATTTCTTTGGAGAAAAAACTGGAAAGTTGAAACGCGAAGTTAAAATTAAATTTTGCTGTAAGGCAATTCTAGACTCAAGTTAGTGCTAATCTTATAAAAGAGATGCAAATTACATCCAGGGGTCCAAACTCTCCAAACTCTCCGAACTCTCCAAAACTCTCCGAACTAGAAATTAGAAAATATCCTTTGAGCCTTTAAACCTAGAAGAAAGTTAGAACTAAGAAATCTTTGAGCACTCAACCTTTCTTAATTTAAAAACTTTCCCATTCGCCATTTCTTTCACATTTTTTCTTTCTATTCCCATTTCCCATTCTTTCTTTTTTATCCCATCCTTTATTTCTTTTCCCATTCTTTCTTTCTTTTCCCATTCTTTATTTCTTTTCCCATTCTTTCTTTCTTTTCCCATTCTTTCTTTCTTTTTCATTCTTTCTTTCTTTCCAATTCTTTCTAGTTTCCCCATTCTTATTTCTTTTCCCATTCTTTATTTCTTTTCCCATTCTTTCTGCCTTTGCCGATTCTTTTCCTATTCTCAATTTCTTTTTCAATTCAATCTTTCGATTTCATTATTTTTTTTCTTTTTCTATCCTCAATTTTTTTTTAATTCTTCATTTCTTTTCCCATATCTATTCATTTCCCTTTCCATTTTTATAAACTTTTTCCTATTTTGTTTCTTTTCTCCATCCTATATCTATTTTTACATTATCTTTTGTTTACCATAGTATAATTTTCCTAATCTTAAACTTTTTTTGTACGCTCTTCTTATATTTTTTTGTCCATAATTTCTACTTTACATCCTCAAATCTACTTTTTCCAATAAAAAAAACTGAATAATTCCACTTCGGGTTCCAACTCTCTTCCTCTCTGTTAGATCTTAAAACTTAAATTCCAAGTCTAATCAGAGCTGAGGAGGGAGGAAAGTTTTCAAAACTTTCCTTGGGAAATTTTCTAAAGTTTTCGTTGAGGCCTTTCTCCTTGTTTGAAAGTCTCCCAACAGATTTTAATTAAACTAGAGATTCTTAATGTGGAAAATTATTCAAACTTTAAAATATTCAGATCCGGAATTCAGAGCTTTCCGGG